TAAACCCTAGACCACTAAACCCAAAACCCCTAAACCACTAAACCCCTAAACCCTAAACCACTAAACCCTAAACCCCTAAACCCAAAGCCCTAAACCCTAAACCCCTAAACCCAAAGCCCTAAGTTGTTCCAACAGAGAGCAGCCCAGGCCTTGGATTGACGAAGCCCTATCAGGGTTGGAGCGAGATTTCGCCGAACTTAGGTTTAGGGTTTGGGGTGTAGGGTTCAGGGTTTAGGGTTTAATTGGTGCTCCTGTTCTACATCGCAAAACAAATGGGTAAGAACAAAGCCGAATAGACAGGGGGAGAGAGCAAGACTGCGACCTCTTGGCTTGTTGCTGGGGAGCTTAATTCAAGTTGCAACAACAGATGTGTATGTATGTATATATATAGATAGATATGTGTATATATATATAACAAGCAATATGCCTTCCTTGCTGGAGTAGCTTTAAACTTTAAAGTACCTTCGATCAAGAATCTCCTGCGAGTCGTCCAGGGCAACTGCCTTCACGAGCCGGAGTGGTCCCAGCAGATCGCCGGCGTGCCGGCAGTTCTGCAGGTCCTGGATGCTGCTCCTCGTCGATGGTTTAGGGGTTTAGGGGTTTAGGGGTTTAGGGTTGAGGGGTTTAGGGTTAGGGATGGAAGGGGCTTTTGGCTTTTGGGGCGCGTGCAGGGTTTGGCCCGCTGAAAGGTGTCTGGGATGACGGTTGTGTTGGCTTTAAGGGCAGGGTTCGAGGTCTCGGGTTGCGGAAGTAGGTTTCTTATTAGGGTTTAGGGTTTTAGGGTTCAAGGTTCAAAGGCCGTAGCTGTTCGAAAAGACCAGCTGCACATGATCTGTCATCGTCACATGCCGAGAGCAAGTACTTGACGACTGAAGGGTGGATGACAAGAAAAGGACCATAGTCTTAGCTAGACAGTTGACTTTACAACTGACCCTTTATCAAAGAACGCATTACATTTAAGTACATCGAAGACCCATCCATCTGCCTCACATGTCCATCGTGCTACCTCACAGTCGCGTGTACTTCTGTGGCAAAAAAGGAGGCCTACTTCGTTCAACGAAGCTTCCGGTTCGTCCCAGACAAAAAAAGGGATTCAAATTCAGTTTATACTCTGGTTCCACAGTGGTACCCTTTTGCCCTTTTTGGTTTTGGGTCTCGTTATTAACACCAAATAGTAGGAAAAAGGGTATCCTTATTCTTAACGGGTTACTCTAGAACGAGAACCCTCGTCCCTGCAAGCAGGTTTGGGGTCAGCGCAGCGCCTATCGCTGCTGCGGCGGCGGCGGGGAGTGTGTCTTGCCCCAGTGTGTCGCGGCCCAATAACTGCAATGTTCACATGCCAGAGAGGCATCACCACGGTTCTCTACATGCTCGTTCCTGAGCACGAACCATAGGTCATCTCTTCTCTGGCAATCTGTTTCTTGAAAGGCACATAGCGCAGACTAGGGCGTGATCGAGTCGTAGAACTATAGAGTATCAACTTGTGCTCAGAGGCGCTACTGGCAAGGGCAGAAGTACTCAAAAAGTGGGATGTCTTCTGGAAGTGGTGTACGATCATTGTGGCTAGTGGGAGCAGGAAGAAGAACGAGTAGAACAGGCAAGTATTGCCAGACGTCGTTATTTTCGTCGCCGTGGTCGTAGAGGCTGTCAAAGTAGCAGTAGTAGTAGTGGTGGTAGTAGTAGTAGTAGTAGTAGTAGCAGGGGTAGTAGTAGTAGTCGTCGTCGTCGTCGACGTAGTAGTAGTAGTAGTAGTAGTCGTCGTAGTCGTAGTCGTAGTCGTAGTCGTAGTCGTAGTCGTTATCGTAGTGGTAGTGGTAGTGGTAGTCGTCGTAGTAGTAGTAGTAGTAGTAGTAGTCGTGGTGGTGGTGGTGGTGGTGGTGGTGGTTGTGGTTGTGGTGGTGGTGGTGGTGGTGGTGGAAGTAGCAGGAGAAGCAGCAGCAGCAGTAGTCGTGGTGGCGGCGGTGGTGGCGGTGGTGGCTGTAGTGGCAACATGATTGCTATCTCAACTGCTAATAAGCCCCGGGCAACGCAATCGTGACGATGGGGACTGTGTACAAGAGGAAGGACTTCTGTAGTATGTACTGGCATGTAGTAGCACCATATATGAGATCGAGTAGCTCCTAGCAGTAGCAGTAGAAGTTGAACCATCATGACGCCAGAATCAGAACCAGGTATTTTGACTCTAGTTCCCAAAATGGATTAGAGAACCCAGAGAGCCGAAAACCCCTTAATTAAGGAATATACCTTATATTTGCTGGGTAGGGCTTAGGGTGTAGGGTTTTAAGGTGTAGGTTGGAAACTCCCAGAGAGCCCTATACCCCTTAATTCAGGAATGTGCCTTAAATCTGAATATTATGGGCACCCAAACATGTGCCGGCCCCAAGTCGATTGTCAACCCGGGCTCGGGGCCTAAGTTTTATGTTCAACGGGAAAAGGTAACATCGGCGCCTAAAGGGGTTTCGGGTTTAGGCGGCTTGGGGTGTAGGGTTACGGCTTACCCCCTAAACCCTCAACCCCAAGCCCTAAACCGAAATAAATAAGTGCCAACGTCATTCCTCCTTATAATTAAGTCTGAAGCAAGCCCACATGGCCTCACTCTCCGTTCTAATCTCTGCCTTCATGCATCAACTGCGGGCCCCTAAGCATACTTAAGTTTACACGTCTAACGCTGTTCCGTGTTAGAAATCAAACCCGAAGCCCCAGTTCCGGGTTTTGGGCTGGACATGGCAGGCTGGGAATATCAGCGGCTTCACAGCGATCTGAGAACTTTGGATGAGAATCCGCTCCCCCGCTTCCTTTCAGCCACCTGCCAAATCTAGGGAGCGTGTGTGATGCCTTAGGGTTTAGTACTTAGGGCCCGAGACTCAAGAACTTGAAACTACGTCTCAAGCGCCAAAGTTTCCGCCGTCCAGCGGCGACCGCATACCACTGATGACCATGACAACAGTATTCACACTGACACAGCTACTGATGGCCATGGCGTCTTTAGTAAGAGGAGTGTTTACAGAATATAGTAACAACCGGCACAAAACCATGAACAGGGATAGGGAGCGCCAACAATAAGCATAGTGACGATGATGATCGTGATGGCAATGATAGTTAGGACGTTTTGAGGAATACGACGGTGATGATGGCCACTGCAAACCTGGCATGCATATCCAGGCATTGCGAGGTCTGTGTCGATGTCCATGTCCTTCCATGAAAGGCAGACTCCCCGAGCCCGATCTTGGAATTTTGCGGCATAGGGTGTTGAATTCAGGTTTCGAGAACCCTGCACCCAAACCCTAAACCCTAAACTAAACCCTAAACCCTAAACTAAACCCTAAACCACAAGGCATCTGTAGTGCAGGCCTAACTTTTGGCCTGCTTTCCTTGAGTGCTGGGTTTATGGGGTTTAGGGTTGAGTCATCCGTCCAGATGAAAGCTTGAAGCTTTACAATTTAGCCCCTGATGGATGAATGTCCGCATTACGCCGGTGCTCTTCGGGGAGATCTTCAAAGTTCAGCCGACCTAGCTGAGCACTTCGCGTGCTCCAAACCCCTGATTCCCTAAACCCTAGACCCAGAAAGTCCCAAACTGCTAGGTTTGAAGCCAGACCAGCTAAAATCGTCAAAATCCTCTTCGTCTACAAACTGCCCCGGTTCAGGTGAACTTCACCGTTTGTGACCTTACCGCCTTTAATGGGCCCACGCGCCACGTCCCGGGCACCATGCAGAAGGACCGACCACTTCGTGAATTTAGGTCTCTATAGACTGTAGGGAACGTATAGGAAGTTATATTTCAGGGTTCTATAGAGTTCACGGAACTTATGCGAAGTGTAATTGTGCTAAAGGCTTTTTGTAAAAGGCAGTTGTACCATGCAGAAGCTTAGTTAGATGTTTAATACCCGGCCCTTAGGGGGTACTGTATGGGATCTAGCAGGGTTCTATACCGGTTTGGAAACGCAATAGCCTCAATCCTTAAGAGTACCGTAGAGGGAATCAGAGATTTGTTCTTAGTCCGGTTTCCAGCCGTTTTGGGGTTTACTATATGTGCTACTTCGGGGGTTCCTTGTTACAATTATAGTATAATGTACCCCGAAACCGCATTCTAAGTATTTAAGGCCCCTACATTATAGCAAGTAGAGTGGGGTTTTATGTGGATGAGGGGTCCTTGTGTCCGAATGGTTTGGGCCTTTTGTCCGAATGTCTGGTCGACCTTGAATGGCTTAAAAGGGTCCTGGGGGTCTGGGAGTTAGGGTTTAGGGTTTAGGGGTGGGTTGCTTAGATGGAAAAGCCTTAGCCTTAAACCCTAAACCCTTAGGGAGGGCTGAGGGCCGAGGCTTCTCGTTGAGTTGTCGACTTGTGGGCGAGGGGGCTGGAGGGGGGGGGGGTTAGGGTTTAGGGTTCCCTTCAGGCTAATGAAGTACTACAAAGGCTTAGGGTTCAAGGGTACACGTTACTACCCCAAAATTTGGGTACCTACCCCCATACAGCAACAGTCTATAATAGGGCTACTATAGAGGGCCTTTTATATCCATATTATGAATATTGATTACTCAACCGTTACTGAGTGGGGGCAATATACAACCTAAACTTTTCAACCCTAAACCCTAAACTAAACCCTAGACCCTAAAGCCCTAAACCCTAAAACTAAAGCTCTAAACCATAAACCCTAAAACTCTAAAGCCCTAAACCCTAAGCTAAGGCCAAAGCCCCAAACTTCTCAACCCTAAAACCCTAAGCCCTAGTGATTCGACCTCTGGGGCCCGGAGGAGTTTTGGTGAAGACGCTTGGGATTTTTGTGGGTGCCAGGGTTGGGTTTAGGGCTTTTAGGGTTTTTGGTTTAGTTTAGGGTTTAGTTTAGGGTTCAGGGTTCAGGGTTTAGGGTTTAGTTGAGGGTTTAGGGTTTTAGCAGTAGAAGGCAAGAACAAGCCGCCGGCAAAAACAAAAAAGATCTAAAGACTTTGCCCAGCAGTTGACAAAAAAACGAAAATGCAAACAAAAACGCATTAAAGAGGCCCGCTTAGCAAAACCCAGCACCGCATCAGGGGTGAAGGCTTTAGTGTTTCGAGCTTGGTGGCTATTACCGTCAGTACAGTCACTACGGTCTTCATAGTTTCGTCTGTGTTTGTTGAAAGGCTGTTTTGTGAGGTCCGGTCTCCTATGACCTTCAAGTGAGGGATCCGGAGTCTCTGGTAGGGTTTAGGGTTTAGGGTTTAGGGTGCAGTATGTAGTGTGAGGAGTACTTTCAGTATCTTTCGGCAGGGCTGTCATTTCTGGCATAGGGGTTTCAGGGTTCAGGGATCTAGCGTGGGTGCATTTATGAAGAACCCAAAACCCCTTAGCCTAAGCCGTAAGCTCCGTAAACCTTGAGCCCTAAACCCTAGTCGCGAGAAAAACCATTCAAACCGGAAAGATCCCGGTCGCCCGCAACCCTAAACTCCTAAACCCCTAAAGCCCTAATCCCTAAGCCCTTAAACCCCTAAACCCTACACCGAAATGTCCCGGCCCCGAATCCCGAAATCGTGGCCAGGATCCAAAGCAAGTGCCCTGCGTGGGGCTGGAGAACCCCAGGACGGGGTTCAGGACTTAGGAAGGTTAAGACGGTTACTATTGAAGGTTCAGGGTTTAGGGTTTTCTGGATTTAGGGTTTAGGGGTAATCTAGAAGGTTTCGGGTTCAGGGTAATAGGGTTTTAGGAAGGTAACGCTATAGAAGCCGAAGTAAGTAGCAACAGTATTCCTGGGGACCCGTTATTACAACTAAACCCTAAACCCTAAACCCACGATACTACGATAACGTGCCCCAGCACCGTTACTACGCGTTTGTGCTTTTGGACTTTCCAGCGCGTGCTCAAGCTACTTGTTCCTGAGGGCTTGGGGTTTAGCGAAGCCTCACAAACACTAAACCCTACATCTTCAGGGTTGTTCCCCTAAACTCCTAAACCCTAAACCCAAAGCCCCTAAGCCCTAAACCCTAAACGCCTAGGCCCCTAAACTCTAAACCCCTGAGCCCCTGAACCCTGAACCCCTACACCCTAAAACCCTAGACCCCTAAACCCTAAACCCCTAAACCCCTAAACCCCTGAACCCTAAACCCTATAAACCCCAAACCCCTAAGCCCCTGAACCCTAAATGCTAAATTCTGTGCTCCCGGAATCCTTCATGCACTAAGACTCTATTTTGTCTCTTGAGACCTGCACCAAAAACACCCCTAAGCACTTTAGCCTGGAACCCCTTTTAAATCCCCAGTCCCCAAATTTAGCGTTGAGGGTTGACCCTGAGAAGCCCGAAAGCCAAGCACCCCAAGCTAAACCCCAAACCAGGCCCCCAGACACTGGAACCTATCTCAGTATTAATCCTATATATATATATATACATACACATACACATACATTTACATATACTTATGCAGAGATAGATAGAAGGCTAAATACTTGCTAATACTTTCCCTTGGAGACCCAAGTATAGGTATATTGTAATGGACCTCAAAACCCAATTCTAAGTATTAAGGCCCCTGGATAAAACTTGTCCCGGACAGGTTCTTGCTCTCGACAGTCGCGCCTCTCCAGGCCCAGAGAGCCCAATACCGCTTAATTAAGGCATATACCCCTTAAATTATAGGGGCCTTAATATTATGATTTGAGGTATATTCCTTGATTAAGGGGTATTGGGTTTTCTGGGGGCTTGTGCCCGGAAGCCCCTAAACCCTAAACCCTCAACCCCTGTGCTTTGATTGATTCCACTGACGGTTCGTTTAGGAGTTCTGCTTAACATCGGGTCCAGGGTTTAGGATTCAGGGCACTGGGTCCCGGGTTTAAGGTGCGTGAGTGTAAGGTTTGGGGTTTAGGGGTTTTTAGGATTTGAGGTTTAGGGTTTAGGGTTTTTGTTGGTTTGGGGTTTAGGGTTTTTAGGATTTGGGGTTTATTTTGATGCGGGATGATACTGTTGCTGGTGCAGAGTGCGCAGATAGTATGACACAACGACGCGAGGCCAGTATGGCACAACGACGCGAGGCCATGATGACGATAATGATGATGGGGACGAAGATTGTGCGAACGATGGTAATGCACAAGTCGGCATGTTTCGCGGTCCCTCTCTTTTGCCCTTTTTCGGTTTGGGGTCTCCATATTAAAACCAAATAGTAGGAAACAGGGTACCCTTATTATCAAGGGGTTACTGGAGAACCTAGGGTATAGGGTTTCGGAATATCGGCAAATGCATGAGCAAGTGTTGCTCAATTTCAACTGGTAGCGATAGCAGCAGCAACAGCAGCAAAAATTACGATCTTTAAGCCTCAAACACGCAACAGCTGCGACCGTGAACAAGTGCCCAGAGAACACGAGCAGGGACACTCCTAAACCCTAAACTCTATTTGTCGACGCTGGCACCTGCTCTTGGAAAGGCAGGCGCTGCCATCATCAGAGACGTGCGCGCCTGGCACGGTGCTTTTGTTGTCAATTTTAGGGTTTAGGGTTTAGGGTTATTTAGGGCTTTTCCAGGTTTCGAAAGATTTCCATGGCAGACATACCAACCCTTCGTGTTGTTCTGCTGCGGAACCATTGAACTGTCGAAGGGTGCTTGGAAGCATAAAATAGAATCCCAAATCATTGCCAATGCAATGCTGGTCTTAAGAATTTCTATTGCAGTGGTGGTGGTCGGCAATGTAAGCTCATATAGTATACCCCGACTCATGATGGGCCCCATATTAAAACCCTTTAAACCCCCCTCTATTTCAACCAGTATAAATCATCGAAACCTATAGACCCTTTGAAGTCGAACTCGTAAATCAAGCCTAAATCCCGTTCCACGAAGCCCTTAAGCTTTACACCTTCAGCTTGAACCCTCAACCCCCAAAAGTTTCCTAAACCCTAAGCCCTAACCCTAAACCCGTATAGTAGCCCTTTTAGAACCCTCTTAAGGAAGCCTTTAAAGAACCCTATGAAACCCTGTTCTAATTCATAAGGCCCTTATATTTAAGCCAAAAAATCCTAAACCCTAAAAGCCCTAAACCCTATCAAGTTACGAACCCAAAGAGCCGGCTAGCCCTTACTCAAGGAAGATACCTAAACCAAAGTATGAAGACCCCTATAAGGGTTTAGGGTTTGGGGACTGAAATAACCGGGCATTGGGCTCCCTAGGAACCGTATGAGGCCTTTGGGGCTGCAGGCTTTGATAATCTGGGTTTAGGGTTTTTGGGTTTTGGGTTTAGGGTTTAGGGTGTTCGATGCAATGTAGAAGCCTAGTTAATCCATGTTGCCGATAGCCGCCATTGTACTTGGTTTTTTTGGGATACCTGACGGAGACTATAGGTGTTCTGTAGGGATCCTTAAGTATAATAAAACAACCCCAAACCCTAAAACCCTAGGCCCTAAAACCCTCAACCCCTAAACCCTGAACCCTCCCGATTCTGACGGGGAAGGCCCCAGGGTTCCGGCACCTGAGCCTCGAACCCGCGACATGCTACCCGAGGCTTCGGGGTTTGGGGTTTAGGGCTGTAGGGTTTAGGGTTCAGGAGTTTAGGGTTTAGGGCCTAACACACTAATCACTAATCCGCCCCAAAGCCCTAAACCATACCCTAAAATCCCTCCACTCCTAAACCCTCAACCCGAAAATGTGGGGTCAAAGCCTGCGATCTCAGGTGGCACGCCGAACGTGACAGAAGTCCCGCGGTACCTTCCGTCCATCGAGCATCTTACCTGCATAGTGTAGGTTTTCGGTACTTGCTGCAATTTCCGATAGAATCCAGTATCCTATCTTTGAGGTGTTATTCGAGGAAGTAGTGGAATCTTTGCGTTCTGATTTATCGTGCATGGAAAGCGCACGCGTGCATGGAGATGGCAGCCACGTGCACACATGAAGATGCACCCTTGCGCATGTGCAGATAGATGGATGGTGGAAATATGATGTGGATGTCTCACCAGGAGCGTGTGCGTGTGTTACGTGTACTGTATGTGTATGAATGTATGTATTTTTTATACATATATACATATATATGTATATTATGTATGTGTATATATACATATACATATATATATATATATGCTATACATATATATATACACATACTTTATATATACACACATATTCAGACATATGTATATGTATACATGTATATGT